GAGCAGTTGTTTAAATTAAATTAAATTAAATTAAATTAAATTAAATTAAATTAAATTAAATGAAGGATCAGGGCATTGGGGTAGAAAAAAGTAGAACAGGACAGGTATCAGAGATGGAGCTGCTGTCATTTTAAAACTCCCAGATACATTCACTCTTGATTTTTTTTTATTAAAGCAAGTTTTTTTTCTTTAAACAAAGCTATCAGTAATACACATATCTAAAATGTATGTACTTTTGCTTCCTAGGTTATATGCCAACAGGTATCAAAGAAGCATTTAGATGAGGGCCGTTTGTATCCACCTTTAGTTGCAATTCGAGATGTCTCTCTTAAAATAGCTGTGAAAGTAAGTTCATTTTTTACTGACTAATCATGCTGTGTGTCAGCCTTTTGAAGGTAGACCAAAGTTATGAATGCTATTATAAGGTTACGGTAACAGAATCTTGCAGGTCTGGACGCTCCTCTCCCCACCCTGCCTTTATGTTCAAGGGAACTAGGGAGGGTCAAGTCTGAGATGCTTTCTCAAATCACATTCCTGCTCTGGACTCAGGTTTCTCTTATCTGACCTTGTCTTGGTTGTGGCTCTTCTTCCTATTCCTCCGGGTTATTCTTACAGCCCATTCCACTGTGATTTGTTAAAAGGTCGTTAGGGTTTTTCTCAATTTCAGGGACAGAATATTTACAAAAATGCCTCAAATTGTAGTGCAAAAAGTTACAGTGTTGCAAACCAACCCTACATTGTGCCACTTGCTAGTCCCTGTTGAAATTATTTTGATGTGAATTCATTCTCCTCTTTAGCTTTTTAAGAAGGTTTACCTTCCAAGGCGTTGGAAGGTAAACCTTCTTAAAGGTTTACCTTTAGGTTAACCTTGCCTTGCCCCTTCTTTCCCTTTCTCTTCCTTTGAAGCTGTCTGGTGGGATATATATTCCCCACCACCCTTTTTACCCCAGAAACAACTCCCATGACGGTGGATGACTATCCAATCTATGAAGTCCCAAGTAAACTGAAACTGACTTTCCCTAGTCACACCTTCTAACATCAGTATACAAGGCATGCAAGTTTTGTCCAACAGGACAAATAACAGTGAAGCGGTCATTGAAACACAGTCCTGATTTAATCCAATTGGAACATCAATGGAGATTCAGTCACAAATCCTTGGCTTCTGGTGTAGTTTGACCATCTTTCTCACTCTCTGGGCCTCATTCATTTTTCATTTTCTACAAGCTGCCAATTCTTTTCTTCTTGCTTTGTTGTTATCAGTAAGGAATTGCTTCTCTCAGGCACATCTGGTAATCATTTTAAAGCCAGTTGTCATATTTCATTCTCTTCAACTTGAAAATGCAGGTATTTTATTGATGTCAAAGCAAATTTAACTGTCAAAGAATTTGTTTTGAAATCCTGCATTTTTTGTATGGCAAAATTTTTGTTTAGTATAATTTTTAAGCCAGTGAGAAAAATCAACACAATAGAGTGTATTATATAATACAAAATATTTTATATTAAGGTTAAAAAATACAATACAATCAATACAATTACAGTGATTATATTTGACCAATATATCATCTGTATCACCAAATAAAAAATAAGAATGTTTTTTGGAACTCTAACACTTAACTTCATCTTCTCTATACAGTGGAACCTCGGATTACGAACGCTTCTGTTAACGAACTTTTCGGGTTACGACCAGCTCCAGCTGCAAAATTTTGCTTCGGTTTGTGAACTCCGCCTCAGGGTACGAACAGGATATGCGGCCATTTTCCCTCCCGTGACATGGTCCGCGGCCCTTTTTCTGCCTGACACGTGGTCCGCGGCCATTTTCCGCCCCTGACACATGGTCCGCGGCCATTTTTCCGCCCGACACGTGGTCCCCGGCCATTTTTCCGCCCCTGATATGTGGTCCGCGGCCATTTTCCGCCCCTGACACGTGGTCTGCGGCCATTTTTCAGCCCCTGACACGTGGTCTGCGGCCATTTTCCGCCCCTGACACGTGGTCTGCGGCCATTTTTCAGCCCCTGACACGTGGTCTGCGG